AAGCCTGATTTTTTTTTAATGCAGAGAGAAGTAAGAGTTGCAGTTCCCGTCTTCCCCTCAGAGGTCTCTCACCCAGCTGCAGCTTAATGGTGGATGCAGGTGCTTTTTGCAAGGTTTGGCCAGTAGCAAATAGAAGCTCAGGAGGTCTCAAGGTGCTCCTCTTGGCCCATTTCCTCTGCACGTGCAACCCAGCTCTGCTGCCAGGTTTCTCACAGAGGGTGTGCCCTCTGTGTAGCTGACTTCTGTACTGAATAAGGCAAACACCTGTTGCTCAAAAGCATATGTGTGCTCCTTGCAACAAGAAATGTGCATCCATGTTGCTAGTCTCTTGCTTCCACCGTGTGTGTGGAAGTGTTCCCTCTCTGATGCAAAGCAGTAGGTGATTGTTTTTTAATTGTTCTTTTTTAAGACTCTGAGACCAGGCCTGAGGGAGGGAATACATGGAAAATAGGGCACGACACACACACTTCCACCTGCATGTCACTGTGAGAAGCAAGCAGGGCCCTCCTGCTGCCTGGGATCTCTTGGCTAGTGTCAGCATGCCCAGTGTAATCTGAAACTCCCACCAGCTGTGACAGAGAAGGGGCTGCATGGGTGACCCTCAGCTCTGCCTCATTTCCCCGTGTGTAAGAACTTTAGCTTCTTTGTGGACATAAAGAGAAGGGCAGAGTGCTGTTCTGCGTGATTAAAACCTCACCGTGATGATCAAGGTGTTGTTGGCATGGGTGAAGCTCAGGGCAGCTGCATCCAAGGGGAGGTGGTATCGGTCCAGATCAGGAATAGAGAACTTTTTATAGTACCTACAAATGAGAGAGAAGACAGAAATAAGGAAGGTGGGTTTTCTATTCTGCCACTAGAGTGCTGAGACATAGACTGCTGGTCTACAAAGTGTAGATGAGGACAACAGACATCTCAGAGTTGGCAGGAGGCCCTTGTGCCATGTTGTGTGCCTGCTGGTGCCCCCAGGTTAGCAGGAACACTAGAAACAAACCTCCAAACTGGAAACCAGAGCTGGCAAAGTCCTGAAGAGCTTTGTGTGTGACAGCAGGCTTGGTCCCTCCAGCTTGCCTGTATGTGTAGTGCTAGCTATGGTTGAAGATAGACTACTCAGCCCTATCAAAGTGTTCCTTGTCTTTTTCCCTGCTCATGGCCTCTCAATTCCTCTAAGTAGCAGGTTCCTTTAGCTTTTGTCAAAATAGCAGTCAAAGCTCTTGTGCCATATGACTTACTGTCCTCTGTGATGCACCATTTTGTGTTGCAATCCTTCCTAAACCCCTGTTTTCAATTTCTTGCTGTACTTCTAGGTAACTTCTTGCTTTGGTGGCAGGTGGTGCTCATGCATACCCCTGGGCACTAATCTCCAGGTGTAACTGCTCACAGTCACCTGAGCTTCTGCTCTGCAGCATCTCCATGCAGCCTGCATGGTGGCTGTGGTGATCCTGTGTATTTATAGCTCTCCTAATTGTTTCTTCCCTGGTTTCTAACCCAGTCTTCCAATAACCTCTCACATCCAAGCAGAGAACAGAAAGGTTTTTGCCAGCTAAGTGATTTCCTAGGACTTTGGAGCCAGAACCCTGTAGATCTGAGTTTGTGTTTGCCTAAGATGATCTGTGCTTGGCATGGCTTGCCCTGCATCTACTGCTTCTCTCTGAGGCTGCAGCAAATACACTGGCTTGTGGTCCTGTGCCCACCCAGAGGCATGGCTGTATTTTTAATCTCCTCCAGCACTCTTGTGGGCAATCCTCTCCAAGGAATTCACCTGTAGCTGGTACTATGGTGCCTGGAGCAGAGTGGGAATAGGTAGTGGTTGCTACCATGATGAGTGATTCTCAATTCAGCTGGCTGTGTGTGAGGTTTGGCCTCTCTAGCTACCTCTGCCCAAACTGCGGTTTATTTTCCAAGTCACGGTGAAAACAGCTACAAAGGGCAAATGGCTTTCCCGGTGCAGTGGGAGGAATGTACACGGCTTGTTACCGCAGGGCTCAAACCGTTCTGTGTTGTCACTGCTGTCGGTATTTGGAAAAGGTGGCAGACATGGATAATAAGGGAGATGTCAAAGGTTAAACAGCAGAGATTAGATGAACACAAAGACATGTTAAGGAAGTGTTAACTTCTTACCGATTAGACAAAAAAAAAAGCAGTACACAGAAAAAAACCACTGTTTCAAAGGGCCTTGGGAGTCATCAATGAAACAGCAGCATTCTGCTGCCCCAGGACTAAGGAGAAGGGGAGAAGAATGGCTTTGGCTGGCCTCAAACTAAAATCTGTGACAAGATCAAAGGAAACTAGATCTGCCTTTCCAACCCCTCCTCCTCCTAACATTACCACTGCCTCTCACTACAATAATTGAATCAGGTTTGGCGTTTGGGGAGGTGGCTTTCTAGGTTTGTTTTTAGAGTTCAGTTTAATGGATTTATTTTACAGCAAGAGGTTTTAAGCAAATCCCACTTGAGCAGTCCTTGCCGTGGCCAGAGGGAACAGAGTGACTGGTGGAAGTGAAGAGCTCCTGTCTGGGCTGGGGAGGTAGCCGATGGGTGGTTATCCCAGCCGATGCAGGCTGATTCTCTGCCCTCTCCTCTCACCCCATGGCCAAGGGCAGTATTACACTCTGAGCCCGAGTCCTGGCCCGAGATGCACAGTAAGTATGTGAAATCACCGCTATTATTTTCCTACTGGAAACCCACTTTTTGTCAGCCCATAGGGAAAACTGCTACTGGTATGCTGAGAATTTAGAGCTGAGCTACTCAATAGTCACTTGGCAGCCCATCCTGTTACTTGTCCCTCTGGCTGGC